ATGTATGTATGTGTATATAACGTACATATATAATGAGTGTATGCGTTCTGTTGAGAATTAGGAGGAATAGGGAGGCTGATGTTGCCATTATAGGTGTATGAGGAGGAGAATGAATATGGAGAAAAATAAAATAAAAAAAAGGAAAATGGTGTTAGTTAGAGAGAGAGAAAGAGCGAGAGAAGGAGGGAGAGAGTAAAGAGGAATCTTGTAAGGGTGATTTTCCTTTTATTATTATATTTATTTGTTCTCTTTGTTCACACCTGTTTGTGTTATTATTATTATGTTTTTTGTTCACTTCTTATAGTCGATAGATTTGCTATGAATATGTTTTTTTTCTCAATCACTTCTTTTTCTTTTTACTCATGTATTTAAAGGGGAAGCCCATTCCCATTTTGTCTGTGTCTGTGTGTGCTGTCAGTGTTGTCTCACTTTTGTAAAGACCTCATAATAATAACAACAACAAGAAAAGAAGAAAAAATACTAGTAAAGAAAGAAAGAAAAAGAAAGAAAACAATGTACTTCTTCAATGCAGAGAAGCAGGGGAGTTACTTTGAGGGATGGACAATGCGGCGGTTTGCGTTTGACACCAAGCGACGGCATATGTATTACACAGAATGTGAAAAGGGCGGCAATCGCGAGATGGAGAATGGCCCGCTGTGGAAGAAGAAGTTTAAAGTCACTCGATTTATTCCCATCGCGACTGTGCATGAGTTTCACTTGGATGATCCACACTTAAAAGAGGCGGACTTCTTCACAATGGAGATTCACGGCAGAACACGTCGATTGGGTGCAGAGGAACCTCCTAAAGAACCATTACTTTCTCCCTCTACAGGACCTTCACCTTTTCCATCTCAACAACAACAATCTCATCAATCTCAACAACAGAATCAGAATGGAGAAAGATCAGAGACATTGGGAGATCTCAGTGGAGTAGAGACGCGAGATCCATTTGAATTATGTGAATTATATGAAGTATTGCGAGATGAGTTCACAGCGATGCGGCGTGAGAATATGCTTCGTGCGGTAAACTCTTCTTCTTCTGTGGCCTCTCAGCGATCGACTGGCAGTTCACCGGCGGTTGGGGGTTCTGCGAGTGTTGGCGTTGTTGGGATTGGCGGTGCTCATACCACCACAAGTCTCAGCAACACGTGGAATGGAGAATATGAAGTCTCCACACTTACTTCTCCACGATCCGCCTCTGCAAAGGAACGACACATCACCGCTATTTTACGTTGTCAATCGGAATATGATTTCCGTCGATTGTGGTTTGTGCTGCAGACGGTATTGGGATATGATCGATTGGATGTACGGCCGTATCGTGGACTCCCACCGTATGATCCTCGTAATGGAATTCCCTTTGCACATGTTCCTATGCATCTCTGGCATACGTTTCATGTATTGGAGAAGTCTGTTTTTTATACATTTCTGCGTGGAGATCTTGTGGGTCGTGGCAGTGATGGAAATTTACAAGTTTCTCTCCCTGGTGCGTATCTCTGCATTACACATGATATGTTATTAGTGATGCGGAGTAATGGATCTATTCCACGTTGGGTGCGATTGCAGGATGTACATACATTTGAATTTAATACAGTTGCCCGTCGGCCATTCTTTGCATTCTTAACAGATGATCCCGCACCGGATGTGTTATTTATTCCCAGTCCACCATTATTTGGTCCAACCGCTATTGCGAATTTCTCCGCTCAACAAAGTGTTCATCATGTGAAGTGTGTTTTACAAGAGACGTGTTTTCTCTCTGAGTTTATTCGTCGAGCCATTCGATTTACAAATGTAAATTGGGCGGCCAGTGTGCGTGGATATTATAATACCAAGGAAAAAACTCGACACTTTAAATTCACCCCACTGGATGGTTTTGATAATTCCCTAAGTTGTTTAATCCCTAAAGTCCAACTCGCAAAAGTATGGCGAGAAGTTATTCTCCATCAACGAAGTCGATCGAATGATGATATCGCCGCTATTCCACTCGAAGGTGAGGCCGCAGCGGAAGTCAATCCAGTCTTATCTACACAACAACTGCACACCGTACGGCAGCAGATGGGAAGACAACAGGCCCGCTCACAAGATGAGATCGTCGGCGTGCCGCTGGACGCATTACTCACAAACCGCCGCGAACGCACCTCCGCCGCTCTGGAAACACCCGTCATTCAAGCCGAGAATGTGACTATCCCCCAACAAGATACAAGAGAGAATCAAGAGAAGAAAGAGAAAGAAGAAGAAGAACAAGAAGAACAAGAAGAGATTGTCTATCAACAGCCGGGTGCCTGTTATTTAAGTAGAGACGCATCATTGATGGTTGTGCAGCCGAATATCACCGGCGCGGAGAATCACTTTGGACCGGAGAGTCACGTGGTGGAACTTGTGAATACAAGTCTAGTGGCTATCGGGGGAGAGAGAATGGAGAAGTAACGTTTCTCTCTCTCTCTCTCTATATATATATATATGGATCATCTATTAATTTATAGATCTTTCCATCCATATCAACAGTACTGTACCCACACATACACATATATATATATATATATGGCTTATGAAAGCCAATAGTAAAAAGAAAAAAAGCGAAAACGAAAAAAAAAACAAAACGAAGAAGAAATAGTGAAAGTATACACGGGCAGTACAAGACTACTGCCCACAATATGAAGTGGGAAAAGAATTTATGAAAGAAAAGTAAAGGTTTATAGAAGAAGAAGAAGAAGAAGAAAAAGAAAGAAAAAATGAAGAAGAATGGGAAGTGAAAGAAAAACTGAAAAAAAGTTGAGTGAATATAGTCTGGTTGGAAGAAGAAGTAAAACGGAAAAAAAAGAAAAAAAAAAACGAAGGTGAAAAAAAGAGGTGATCAGTGTATATATGTATTCTTCATATCTATATTTATTTCTCTGTACTCTTCTTTAGAAGACATCTTGAAAGAAAATTAAAAAAGAAAGGGTAACCAGTGGAAAGAAGAAAAATAACCAATCGTTAAAAACGCTCTTATGGTAGAGATGTATTATTCTCCTGAAATCAATCAATCTATATCTATCTATCTATCTATCTATCTATCTATCTATATATATATATAAGAAGTGATAAAAAATACTAACACAGTAACAAACATACACACTCATTTATCTTCCATATTTACGTGTATAAATGTTGCACACGTGTTAATGAATCTTATTATTATTATTGTTATTATCTTTATTGATATTATCACTATTATTATTAATATTATTATTAATATTAATTAATTTCTATCAGCAATTCGATCTGGAATGCATGATAATAGTCGTGTCATATCGGTTCCAATTTGTTTTCCTTATATATACTCTTGTTTTTGTTTTTTTGTTTTCCTTAATTTGTTATCATCGTTATTATTATTGTTATTATCAC